AAACACACACACACACACACACACACACACACACACACACACACACACACACACACATATATATATATTAATATATTAATATATTAATATATAACATCATAGAAATTATAACAATTGTAATAATAATTTATAATCTTGACTTAGAACTCTTATTATCTTTGTCAATTTTTATGATATCTTAATGATAATCTTGGGTTTCTTCTTTGCACGTATGGATGAACTTACTTTGAACATGATGTCTTCTTGTTTTTCTATTTCTCGTTGATAGACGAGGAATGGATTGAATGCTCTGTCTAATTCTAACAGCCTATTTATACGCGTGCTGCAACAAACCAGTCTAGTACGCATGGTGTATTTTTTCCCAAAATCCTCTTTGTACGTGTATACATGTATACACGTACAAAGAAGATTGCTGCGTTTCATAATAAGGCGTTATTGCATCAGTTATAAAGTATTCTTGTTAAACTATGAATACCTTTTACACCTTCAATGTACTAAGGCTCCTGTTTTTCCCGCTGCGACCGTATTCCATTATGACGTCAGAAGCGAGAAGTGGTGCAAATATTTTTCTCCCTCTAATGTACGTCAAAATAAATTAGCTTTTTTAATATGCCAACACTCACGTTTATTGGTGCAGATTGATAAAAGAAATTAAAAATTTAAACGTGTAAGCAAATTCCAAGTCGAGTCGATATTAAAAAAATTGAATTTGGATTCTTAGGAACGTTGACTGTGATTGATTCACTCACTTACTATCCAAATTCTACTACTTATATATTTTTACATTATATTTCAGTTTATAAAATTCTTCGTTGACAGTAAATTGCTTTGTACTTTTCCCTCATAAAATTCCATATTTTTCGTAAAGAATACGATATTAATATGATATTATATAATTATAGAAATATAACAAAATATAAAGAACAAAATTAATAATATCTGCGTGCCAATAAATTAATAAATTTTATTTCACTAACCATAAGAGACGCGAAATATATTTGTGTTTAATGATAAATTGATCAAAATATGCCGAAAACTTAAATTATAAGCAAATTACAAATCAAGTATTTTTAAAAATTAGATTTGAATTATCATCGAGATTGTCAGCTGCGATCGATTTGTTTATTATTCAAATTTTCTACAGATTACATTTTTTTATACTCTGTCAGATCACATATAAAATTCTTTCAACAATGGATCAAAGTGCTTTGCACTTTTTTTCGTATTTCGTAAAAATATGGTATTAACGTTTTGACATTGTATAATTTTAATATGATCTAATATTAAAAATATGATCTAATATTAAAAATGTAAAAAAAAAAATAAGAAAACAAAAGATGAAAGAAAAGAAAGAAAAGAAGATGAAAGAGAAGAAAAAATATTTGTATTCGTAGAACATTTTTGTGTGTCAATAAATTTATAAATTCTATTTTGTTAAATCATAAGAGAGGCAATGATCTCAATCAATAATTGCTTACGTACATTTACGTATCAAAACATATATATACAGCTTGATTTCCCAAGTCACTTTTGTGTTTATATGAAAATGCAATGTACCGTGCATGTTTCGTGCTTCGCATTATGAATATTGTATTAGGAATAGTGTGCACCAATCTCCTCATTTATGATTGTCTGATGCAAGTTCACGTCGAATTGCATCAAAGCTGTCTCTTTGTTGATGTATATTATAAGGGCGATTTGTTTAGTCAATTTTCTTCAGTTGCTGCTTGCAACTCTACAGAAAAGTACGTAAGACAAACACGCAGTGAAATATCTCTTAAAATTCAATTTTATTTTAAACAATTGTGCAATATTTTCTGAAAATCCAGAAAATATCTTTTCTTAGTAAAGATAAGAGTAAATAAGTGAATTTTTAAAAATGTGAATTTTTTATTTCAAATAATTGTGTGATATTTTTTGAGAATCCAGAAAATATATTTCCTTAATAAAGATAAGAGTAAATGAATTTTTTTAACAACTTGCAACCAAGATTGCATTTGTTTCTTATAAACATGTCAAAGAACTGTTTAACATAAATGAATATGTATTATCGTTATGAGTATGCTAAAATTTTCGATTTTGAAAGATAAAGTTATATTCGGTAAAATTAAATAGCCAACAATTTTTAATAGTTTTGAGAGATGAAAATTGCAATACAAAACATTTGTATAATGTCCATGTTTATGTTCATTTTTACCAATGTAAATAAATTAATTTTAATCTTGATTTAACCTATATTTTTTATCTTTTTTCAGTTCTAAGAATTAGAAAGATAAAAAAAGATATAAATTGAACTGAGATTAAATCTACAAAAATAAATTAATAATTTCTGTTATGCAAGTTTTATTTTGTTGATTCTTAACATCTTCATAAAACATACATAGCTTCAGCTTTGATCGATCCATTGATTAATGTTGGACGAATAATTGATGTACGCGTTACAATTTTATGAAGAAAGTGTTATGAAGTACAAGTACAAGTTTTATGAAGAAAGACTGACTGACTTCCATAACTTTTGAGAGCGGTAACTTGCGTAATTCATGACCTTGCACAAGGTACATTTGAACGATAACTACCTAAAAAAAAAAAAAAAAAAAAAACGGTAGAAGGTGACCTACATATGTATGTCTGTATGACATAATGAGGTTGAGGATTGGAAGTGAACCACGCCCTCTTATCATAACTTTATATAAATAATAAATTAATAAGAATTTCAAAAAATTTATTTTATTACTTTATTTTATTACTTTTGTATTTGTAATATTTATATATATTACAGAATATATATAGACATAATATTACAGAAGAATATAGAAAACATATAAACTGGTCTAAGAAAAGGGTGAGAAAATTAGGAACATATATTACAATATTTATAAAAACAAAAAATTTCGGTCTGTAAATCAATCAATGATGGAAATATATAGAAATAAAATAGTTTTTTATTTCAAAATAAATAAAAATTAAGATAAAAATTAAATAAAAATAAATAAAAATAAAATCTACTACAAAAATATATTAAATTTGTATTGAAAAGGCATTGATAACATTTAGATCATTTATTTTGAAATTGTTAGAAGTCTATGTTGAGATTGGATTAGATTTTTAGATTTAGAGAATTTAATATAAACACAGAAAACTTTTTGCAACAATAGTTACAATAGTTATAAAATAAATATTCTGCTAAATGGTTAGTCTTTTTCTTTTTTATTAAATTTATAGATTAACTAAGCATTTTAATATAATTAATTTACATTATATAAGAATAATTGTATATATATTTATTAAAATATATATTCTACATAATTAACAATAAAATATAATCATCGACATAATTTATTATATATAAATTTAATTCTAATACATTTTAATAATCTTTATTAATGATTTACAATAATTTGTATATTTATCTACAATATATGTGTATGTGTTATGTATATTTATTGTATTTGTTAACAATTTTCTCTAGTCTAAATTTGCCTCTGTTTCGAATCACATATTCTGTTTTAATCAATAATTTTTGTTATGCTGTTTTTTTACATTGTTCACCTTTGCTGAATAGATTAAAATGACAAAAAAAAATAAAAGAAAAACATATTTTTAGTGATATATTCAAATAAAAATGAAGACTAAAGAAAAATTTTAAGAAACGAAAAAGAAGAAACACAAGCAAAACACAATTCCATCAACTTAGAATAGAGAAAATTGACTATATTTATCCAAAATATTTATTATACATCTGTATCTTGATACAGACAACTGTTATGTATATATCTAATATGTTTAGTAATCTAATTTATTATTATATAATTTTTCTTCCTCATAATATATCATAATATATTTTTTTTCTTCATTTTAAGATTATACAATTATATACATATATATGTAATATATATATGTAAATCAATTATATACACATAGTATATTTTCAATTATTTTTTGGTGGTCTTTCGCCAAAAATGGCACTTCCCACTCTCACGCTTGTACTGCCAAGTTCAATCTGCAACCAAAAATAACAATTGGGTTTAATATAAAACCTAGCAATATTGTTCAATTGTCTAAAGATCTTACCGCATGTTCATAATCATTGGACATTCCCATTGATAATTCAATATCTTTCATATCAATTCCCAATTCATCACATACTTTTTCTCTGCATTTTATTAAACATATAAAATCAGGATTTGGCCCATTTGAAACATCATACCCAAACATCCCTATTGTCATCAGTCCTATAAATTTCAAATTAGGGCAATTCTCTATGACATATTTTACAAGAGTTGACACTTCTGCTACATCACAGCCATTTTTTTCTGTAATCACATAAAATGTCATAATTATTTTTATATAAATATACAAGATAATTTAAAATTGAATAAAAAATTTATTTATTAGTTAAATTTCATTTCTTATCTTCCATGTAAAACATAAAATATATCTTATTACCCTTTTCCTGACTCGTATTAACTTGAACCATGACATTTAACTTGCTGTCATCCTTCCGAAATTTTGGCCATGAATTATTGAGTGCATTTGCAAGTTTGTTGCTACTGACAGTTTCTATGATATATAAATTTGGTATATTTAAAATTTTGTTGACTTTATTTCTCTGCAAATTCCCTATAAAATGCCATCGAATTTCTTTGCATTTCTCAAGAATCAGTGGACTGTAAGCCTTCTCCTCTAACTCATTCACATAATTTTCACCAAAGTGTCTCTGACCAGCTTCATATGCGGATACAATTGATTTTGTTGGCTGTAATTTGCTAACAGCAACCAATCGTGGTTCATAATATTGATATTCCTGCAAGAATGAAATAGATCTTTTTAATTCGCTAAATCAAAATTTCGCATTAATTACGCAGTGTTTACGGTGTTGTTAATAACTTTTTATTCTTAACAAATCATAAATTTATATAATTAAATTAATAGTAACAGGTTCTAAATATAAGAAAAAAAGAATACCGGTGCTCTCTTCTTGGCAGCACATGATATTTTATCGCAGATAGACTTCAAATTTGCTGTCACTTCTGACATACTGTATTTAAATAGTGCCATAAAATGTCATCTAATTGTTAATAGAATATACAATTCACTTATATAAGATAATCAAAATTTTTGATTTTTCCTTATTTTCAGTATCTGTCTGTTATTAATTTCATTTTTTCGAATCTTCAGTATTCACGTGTTATCACGTGTTACGCATATTAAACATCATTACGCAAGATGTTTATCAGGACTGATAAATTTTTTTTATATAACTTTCCATATCTTATACAGATTTTTTAATCCAACATCTCCTTTCCGAGGAAAATTACTCGAAAATTACACATGACGTATACTATATTATATGGAGTAATTTTCCTCGGAAAAGACGTTTAGAACGCAATCTAGCTTTCGATGGAAATGTTCTGTTTGACCAATTGCAATTGGTACACGTCCACTCATACCGGCCGATGCTTAGGAATTTTCTAGTGGATCATCTATCAAAAAGAAAAATCTAATATTCAATCAACCAATCCGTAAGATAGACAATCGGGCGCCACTCGCTCTTGATATATAAAGCTGCATATTCTAGTAAATTTTTTAAGGGAAAATTTTAACGATTATTAAATTTGTGGATAAATTGCCTTAGTCCATAGCTCGTTTGATGAAATTAATTTTTTTACAACTATAGGCTTATGGGTCCTATTCTTGAAACATACTTGAAATCTTATAGTATATGTCACGTACTCTATAAGATTTTACTATACACTATACTGTACACTATAAGATTTTCATGTTTGCGATATGTTTAATCAAAAATAGAGACAATATCTCCCATATTCTTAATTTTTTTTGTAACCAATAAAGAGCTGTCTTTAGTTTATAAGCCTTCTGGCTGGCTACAAGTCATTTTTACAGATATTTTTATCAATAAAGGAGAATATGAATTATAGACTGCAAAATATAAAGCATAAAGCAAATATAAAAATAAATATAAATATTTACACGAATTGACAGCTATTTCTTGGAGCTATCGCATTTGATGCAAGTCTAGTTCTTATATAGACTATGGCCAGCAGCCATTTGTAATTGTTTGTCAGTCATTATGATTATCAACATGGCGTAATCTTATTATCAATATTGCGTTTATTTATGCTATTTTCGTCAAAAGTAGTCGCAAATAGCAATTATGAAAATAATTATTAAAATTATATCTGTAAACACTAACAAGTAAGTAAGTATCGATTTATCTCGCACATCTTTCTCGTCTAATAGTAATAGATCTTTCTGTATCCCAAGTGTTTGCCAAATTGCAGATTGGTCGAACGGTAACTTGGTCGAAATTTTAAAATCTCTGGATTGCCAACTACTACTAATTTTTTGTATCATACAACTGTACAAACAAATAACATCACGTCTACGTATGTCAATTGTGCGAAAGTAATATGGATAACACAGCGTTGACCTTTGGCATGTTGTTTTTTGCATTCATATATTATTAAATTAACATAAAAGTTTGAGCTTGTTATTGGATTTACAAAAATTTATATAAAGATGGGTACTTCGCGGCAACAAGATAGATCTCTTGGTAGTGGAATTTCATTGCCGCAATGGATGAAAGGACGAATGGATAATAGGTAGGTTTTTAACTTTCTTTAATCTGTTTTTATTATTGAGCATATTTTATAAGAGTATTCTTACGATAATTGTTCAGATGATTATTTGAATGTTTAATACAATTGCTGATTGTTATATCGAATGACTATGGGATTGCTACATTGTGTTTGTGTATTTGATATTTTGCCAAATTGGGTCATGTGTTATTTATAGTTAAATATTTGTATTTGTATATATTTTCCTTGACATATAAAATGCTCTGAATAAAACTATGTATTATTATTTTATTGAAAGAGTATTGTTTATTGCAAAATAATATATGAGAGATGTCAAGTTCATTTAATTATCTATTATAATCGGAAGTAAAAAATGAAAAATTATATTCAGTATTAGAATATGGAAAGTTTAACATCAGGGCATAAGATCAAGATACAGATAGATAATTCTTTCTCTAGGGTGGAAACATGAAAAATGAAAATTTTTACTATTGGAGATAATGGAAAAAATTTTTACTTTTTACATTTTTATTCTAGGGAAAAATTATATGATTGGTGGCTTTAATTTTAGTCTTGTATATAGATGTAAGATACTGCTGTACATTAGCACATGTGTGTGTGTGTGTGTGGTGTGTGTGTGTGTGTGTGTTTTTAATATTGAAAAATTTACTGTATGAAATTTAATATGAAAAGATTGCTAGATTTATTAAAGAATGTAAATAATATTGCAATGCTATTTGTATGCTATTTATGTTAAATATTTTAGATGCATTTATTTTGAATGCTTTTGCTTATTATATCGTTCATATGATTCATTTTAGTGTTATAAAGCCAGTAGTATATAGAAAAATGTAAGCAATAAGATTTCAGCAATTGACCAATCAAATTGAAGATATCTAAAATGAGATTATTATCTTAAAATGTTTGGCTAAGAGTGCATTTTATTGATAAGCTGGTAGCAGAGAAATATTATTGGTTCTTACCATTGGATCCAACCAATCACATTCAATTAGTTAGTTGTTCAGTGAGCGATTATAGTACTGAATGCATTCTATGATTTCTTACCGCTTAAATTTTGTCATGTGCTACTGACACATCAGCATTTCAAACAATATTCGTGACATCGCATATTCTGCTTACAGATTTTTTTTATTGAGATAAAAAAAGTGAAAACATAGGGCATCCAAAGTAAACTTGTTATTAAATTTGTTATTATATTCATTCTAATTTTGCTTGTTTTTTTTAAGATTTGATTTTGACGAAGCCGCATTCAGCCCACCGTCTTACGACGACAGTTTTTTTTACGCAAGATATCCAAGATCACAGAATTCTCAACCACAACATGGATTGAAGCATATTGTAACTGAAGTTTTAAATGAAAATATCGCGAGCTCCACAAATCAGATAGTAAATGAGAAATCCATTTCCGATTTGAAAGAAGTCAAGCAGATTGATTTTAGCAAACATCCTTTGCCATGTCAGCCGTTCATGCCGGTTGTAAATAATAAAGGTATGTTATTAAAGGTTTCATTGCCTTCTCTGTTATATTGCATTTGCAATATAACAGAGTTAATAGTAGAATGTAACAAAGTGGTATTAATTGATAAGTAGAATTTTAGACACCTGTATATAATTTCTTTTTAATTTATGTATATAAATTCAAGATAATTGTTGAAGATAACTGCTTATATTGTCGACCACGTGCTGTTAGAAAATACAACATGTAGGTAATG